AAGCTCAATCCTTCTTTCCAGGTGGGTGAAACTTACCAAAGAACAGCTGAACATAGGTCTTTATAATGGAGGTGTTTGAGTAACCTTAGTGGCAGGTGTTGAGAGCAGCCCTGCCTCTGAAAACTTCAGGTGAAGGCTCTTAATTTAAATTACTTTCCTGAAGCAGAACTACTACTATTCTTAGTAATACAACTGTTACAAAACCTGCAAGCTGCCTACCACCCTTTCCTTCCACTGAAACAATGAGAGTGGAGAATGTTCAGCAAATTATTCCACTTGCCCAGTTAATAAACAATTCACAAAATTTTGCACTGTTTTGAAGTGCTCTATAAACATATATTAATCAATCATTAAATAATTAAGAAAACTCTCTGTTCTTTTTCTCTGGCACTCCCAAGTTGATGGATGTTCCTATAGCAATGGAGGAGCAGGACTGAGGGCAGGGGGAAGGCAGGGCTCGGGAGGCAATGCTAGCACAGGACCTTTGCTCTCCAGCCCTCCAAAAGTCACGCAGGGCAAGCGGAAGGGGGCTGTGAGAGGTGACATGCAGGAAGGAGGCTTTCAATTTTAATGGAAATTCTAACGATGACAGTCTATGCAAATAGGTACATGAAAGAGGAGAGGAAACAGACCGGGGGAAGGGGGAGAGAAATTAACCCTGGTTCAGATTTCAAAGCAAAGCCAGGAATAATTTTTGGAGCTAAGAATAGTTGCAGTGCATCTTGTTCTCACTGGGCTCCAGCCTTGCATAATCCTTAGACTCAGGATCTGAAATTTCAGCTGGGAAGGGGAGGGAGGCCAGCCTGCACAGTCCAGGAAATGTGGCTGTCCAGTCTGCAGCTCCATCACCTTTATGATTCCTTTGTGTCACCAAAAGGCACTCTTTAACAAAGGAGCTGTCCTTCTGCTTTTGCAGGGCCCTTGCAGTTGTTTTGCAAATGAGATTGCTTGATTGGTGAGCAAAATCAGAGATCTTTTGAAGCTGTTGCCCAGGAAAGGGGGAGGGCAAGGAGTTCAATTATCCCTCACAGTAAGTAATAGGATCTGCTTCATGCCATAAAGAGCTGTTGAGAATGAACCAAAGCAACTTCTGAACTGACTCCAACATAAATTTCATCAAAAATCCCAGGAAGACCTTAGAGCCACCTGCAGAATGGAGCAGATTCTGCTGTATTCCCAGGATATACTCCTGTCCCTATTGCAGCCTTCTCACCTCCCCAGGCTGCCCCAGATCCAGCCAGCCCCCAAGCAGGCAAATGGGATCTTTAGGGTCTTTATTTTGTTGGGAAATCTGCTCAACCAACACCAAAGGGCAGCTCCTCCACTGCATCCAAGGGTCCAGCCTGCAAATCTTCCAGAGCTTATTGGTGTAATCACATCAACACCTAGTGGGAACTCACTGGGACATCTTTTTTAATCAGAAAACAGTTTCTGCAGCTCAAAAAGTGCCTATGGGAAGACAGGGATGCTGCTGACTACAAACAATGGTTTGTCACAGTGAACTGGAACCAAGCACTTTTTTTTTTTTTTTACAAGTTTTTTTTTTTTTTTTTTAGTTCAGCATGTTTTTTTTTTTTCCCAAAAAGGCTTTTTTTTTTTTNTTTTTTTTTTTTTTTTTTTTTTTTTTTTTTTTTTTTTTTTTTTCCTGTGCTTGGGGCTTGTGGCTGAGCACTCACTGAGAGCAACGTGGACCTTGCCCAAGCTTTATGGGAGCCGGGCAGAGCTCCCAGGGAGCACAGCCCAGAGGAGAGAATGGGACCCAAACCCAAGGAAAGGCACTGCCTATTTTAATGTTAAGCAGACTTGAAACTAAACATTTCATGTCAGTTCAACAAATTGAAACAAAACATTCCTACCTCAGAAATGTCAAAATGCTTCACTTTGATCCAAAAAAAATGTCAAAACAGAACAGGGAAACATTTCTGAACATGACTGTTATAATTCCAGGAAACAATTTTTCCTAATTTTTACCCCAGTTTGTTCTGTTCTGAAAAACAGAAATTCAAAATTTCACAAAGCTGTAGTTAGAGCCGTTTATCACAGGAGGGGCCAATACTGCCTATACATGCATATGTGTGTGTAATCACTGTCGCTCCCACACACAGCACATCAACCGTGCCTGTCAGTGGCACCTCCAGGACTCTCCTAGGGCTGGTTTCACCACCAAAGAGCTGCCAGGCCTCCAGCCCCATGACCAGAGAATGCCCTTCTGTCTGCAGGAGGTCCCACATGCCTGGGAATATCCAGCACAAGTGCACTGGCAAACACAGGTGGTGGCTGTCCACAGAGTACCTTAAAACAGGGTGTTTAGGGCTGGCACAGCCATCTCTACCATCACCACAAGGTTCACACACAACCCAGTTTAGAGCCCTCCTGCCCTCCTCCAGGGCGGACCCAGGGTTTGGTTTGACTCATTGCAGACCTCATAGTTTGGTGCTAGTGTGAATAACAAGAAACTAGTTTGAATAATCTCCTGTTTTGGGAACAAGTGTTAAAAACAGCATGTACTTAAAAAAAGAGGGAAGGGTGTAGGAATTTCACGGCTTCGGTATAATTTAACCTGTGATATTAATTTATATTGCTGAGGATCCTCTCCTCTAAGCATAATTAAGAACATGCTAATGTAGAGAAAGATGACATGCTCCTAATCATGCGCTGCATGCCCAAGGTGGATCCATGTATCTCCTTTAACCTTTACATTAGTGTAATCCTTTACATTAGTGTAATCCTAATGCTGCATCCAGTAACAGTTTGATGACTTTGTATGGACACTCCTACAGTGTTCTTGCTGTCCAGCTGAGGGCTACAAATATGGCTGGCTGTGTCACTGGCCCCTTAGAGAAAGTGCTCCCAGGAGCTCTCTGTGCCATGTAACAGCTAAAACAGGGAATAAAATCTTCCCCTGTGCTCCCTCTCTACCCACCAAAGCTTTTTTAGCTGTTCTTTTCCCCATTTGCTTAGGATAGCCTTCTTTTTCCAAAAAGCTAAAGACATTCTAAAACATCTTTGTACATTTAATTTTCACAGTCTTTCAGTGTTGACTTCCTCTCCATGATGTATCTTCAGAGTCCCCTGGTGCAAGGTCCTGTCTTGTTCCTATAAGCTGAAATACTGTAAGGGTTCCACTGCAGTTCTCTTGCACTGCTGGGATAACTGACATGACCAGGTTAGCCACATACACCTTATCCCTGTAGACCAAACTGGCCAGGACTGAGACTCTGCTCCTCTCCTGTCAGACTCTCAGCACCTGTTGCTTCAGTTTCCCTGCTATAGGAATCTTTCCTTGGTACCTTTAGCTGGGGGAATTTTCTGTATCTTGGTGTCTTCCTTACTGAGGGAAAAAAACCTTCTTTTAAATATTTTCCAGATGGCTTTTCTGCACAAGCAGCACCTATCATCATCCCTGGACTTACAGTGTTTCACCAGGGGATATATTTCTCTCTTTTGCTATAAATAATGCATACTAATAATCCATTCTGCTAATTCTCTGATTCTCTCCTACACTTCCAATCTTATTCACCCTCTAAGCATGTAAAAATAAACTGCAGGGACAATTCATATTGCATCTACAGCTAAAAACTCTCTTGTGTTCCATGGCTGCCCAAACAGTACCCTCTGGATTCATTCCCTGTGGGCTGGCAGTAGCTCAGGGCTTACAGGCTCTCTGAGGCTTGTATCTGATGCAAAATCAGTTTCTTGCTGAGACGTTGCAATTTCTTCATAAGGCTTCTGCAAAAGCCTAAAAGAACACGCAGGAGACTTTACCCATCACAGGGCAGCCCCGGGCTGCAGGAGGAGAGTGGCTGAGATGGGCTGCCTTCCAGGTGATGATTGTTGCCACCTCCTAGAAACAGCTTGCAGCAGCCTTGCCAATTGCTGGGTTTCATCCCTAAATATAGGAAGGTTTTAGGCTTTATACAATGAAGATGAGTAAGAAATCTTCCTTGTAGGGACAGAAGTGCACTGACACTTTGAGAAAGCTGTATATCCACTTTGAGAACCAAGGTATGCACTGTTTTAAAAATAAAAGATAATAAGATAAAGAATAACCACAGGAACAGAGAAAATTGGTGTGTAGGTTATGTTCCAAAAGTCTCCTCAGTGAAGCTTCAGATGTTGCCATTGTCCCCCTGGAAAATTATTTCAAGACTGTACTAATATATGGATCTTGAGTGTGGCTGTTACCATGGGTACATATCTAATCAAATGGGGTGTAATTATCTATATTACCCAATTTGGCATTTGGGAGTACTTCAGTAGTGATACTTCTGCTTGTCTGACAAATAACATGATCATTCAGTAAGCTGCATATGTTTTAATGCTAGATTTTTGTTCTTTGATAAGAAACTGTCTAGCTAACCAAAAGTGCTCTTCACTTGCAAAGTCACAGCCATTAGCTACCAAAATCAATTAATTATTTTTGATAAGCTAATAAATATATTTGGGACTTTTTGTACTATGCTCAGTCACCTTTAGAAAACACTTTATCATTAGTCACCAAAAAACAAAGTGTTCTCCTTTATCCAAGGATGAGAGCACTTCAAAAATTTCAGTTTAACATTATAAATTACAATGCTATTTGCTTTAAAAATAGATTTTAAAATTGATACTTGCCTTCAGCTTCAAGACTGAAAAAAGATTCTTTATATATGTTTTGGATTTATGGAAAAAGCAAGGAACTTTTCAGAACTGTGTTAGAAAAAAAGTTGGTGATGCTCATTCCCATGGCCTCACTATATTAAAAATGTATTCTCCCACCCTGCTACAATGCCCCCAGACACAAGCAGAAGGCAAGATTTTTTCCTGTGACACCTAGAGAAGAGGAGATTGCCAGCAGAAGGACAGTGGCATGGGTAGTGACAGAGGCTGCAGAGCTGGGCCATGTTTTAAATAATCTGTCACAATGAGCCAGGAGACAAGACAGGAGCCTGACAGGCTTGGATCAAGGTCTTGGGGAGAGAAGCAATCCTACCTGTGCATAAAGCAACATGCTTTCCTTCTCTGGCTTTCTGCTAACTTTATTTGTCCAGTTTTCTTGTAACTATATTTAAGAAAAGGACAGAGAAAGACCCCTCTGGAATTGTGTTTTTACCTTCAATCCCCATCACATCCACACAGCTGCCAGAAGAGCACATGGCTGGGAGAACTTACCAGTTAGAACAGGCTCTTTTTTCCATGTACCAGTTAGAGCAACCTCTTCCATGCCCTGAAATGATAATGAGAGAAGAAACATTCCTTGTAAATCACCAGGTGACCAGAGGCATATCACCTTCTGTGCTTTTCTTCCCGTGACAAGGATTCCTCAAGTCTGCAAGAGAGAAATATGCAAGGTGTGGAGTTGAGTACAGGAATGAAACAATCTCCTGAGCTGCAGGAGGAGCTGGTAGAACAGAACTTAAAACCACCCAAACTGGAGGTGTCTAGTCAAGACTATCAGTAAAAAAATGTCTTTACCAGAGTCAGTGATGGGTAGGTCAGACCATGACAAGACAGAGGAAGTACTTGGCAGGATGAGCCATGTGAAGTCCAGATGAGAGATCACTGATTACCAACACAAGTTGTGGCAGGTTGGCTTTGGCACGACTCTTTTGGAAACCTCTTGGTGAACACAGCTGTGATCAGAAAGAAGACAGGGACCCTCTTTTGCAGCCCCAGTGTGGACATATGAAAGACCCCCAGTTGACCACTGTCTTCAGCATGAGGATACCTGCCCGAGCCACTAGGCAGGCTGTCTGCAAGGGCATGACTTACCTGGTGCTGTGCTCAGTGCTCCTGCTCCAGCTGCTCAATTAGCTTGTCACTGAGCTGCTAGGATTGCAGTTTGTGTGGCTGACACTTAGGTTAGATGCCATTTATGTAAAATTGAAGTGTCAATAATAAACCACAGAATAGTAGCTGGAATACGGCTACTGGATACAGATGGGAGTGTATCATTCAATTCTGGTTGTCACCTGATTCAGCCAGCAGATTCCTTGCTAATCAATTTTGAAGTTCCCAGCTTCAGTTACTCTGTGACACCAGTCACCACACAGCTTCCTCTCCCTCCTCCAGCACCCCACATCATTAAAAGTAATTAAACTCTTGTCCCCGTGGTGTCCAGGTGTCACAAGACACCTGGTAAGTCTCACCTCTAACTACCCACTTGGCTGTGCTGGAACAGCAGCACTGCAGATGCTGCCTGTGGGGCTGGGTCTGCTCCCACCAAAGTGCTGGGTGAGCTGCTGGCAGGGCACCCCCAGCTCTGCCTGGCTTTCCAGGGCACAGTAGGGAGCTGCAAGTTAATCAGCAGTGCCCCACAGCAGGTCAGCACACCCAGCTATCTGTGTTTTCCCTTGTTTGTCATTTTACATTAGCCTCCATTTTCCTCCAAATCACTTTGGTGTACCAATTAATCCAGAGGGTTTTCATTTACTCAGGCCGTCCAAATCAGCAACACACAAATACCCCCCACAATCACTGCCAACAGCTCATAATACATTTTAACTGCTCCTTGCCCTTTGATGTGTTAGCCTTCTGGGCAACATTATCATTACCCTTTATATACCTCTGTGGGTGAATGCAGCGCTGCACATGCTATGTGCAACGGGTTTGCTTGTGCCTGAAATAAAGCACATTATCCTAAGAACCTGCAAGAATTGTGCCCTCTTTGCTAGCAAAACCCTGAACCAGGCCAAAACAAACATGAATAACATCCTGGGTTATGGAAAGCTTATTTTCAAAGTGGATAAGCAAATATAGGGAGGAACAGGACAAGCCAAAAGAGGCGTTTGCCTAGGGAGAAGCCTTAGTGGGAGAAAGGAGCCCTGGTATAGTCTGGAAGTGTGGGCATCATGTCAGGGGAAGCAGATAGTGTGCCATGCAGATGTGCACATGCTAGAAGTACGTATGGAATAGAATACATCATTCCAACTGAAGTATCAGATGCAGGTAAATTCAGGAAAATATAATGGGAAAAATTTAGGTGGTCCTAGAGCGTGGCATTCATCACAACTTTGGAGACATTTATAGCTTCAAGGTCTCTTGTAATTGAAATTGTTGAAACTGTATTTCTCAGGGAATATAAATCAGTGTGGGTGGCATCAGGCTGACAATCTGGAAGGGCTCAGCCCAGCTGGGAAACTGGAAACAGTCAGAGCCCTGAAAGATTAGTTGGAGGTGGCATGGATTAGCTCAGGTTGGTTCCACAGGACCCACACAACCCACAGGTGCTTACAGTAGAGGGGTGGAGAAACAAGCTCTATGTAATAAGATATTTTTATGGGAAAAGATGGATATACAATGTTAATATGGGTACACCATATTAACATACAGAGTACCAAGCCCAGCCGGTGAGGGAGGGCATCTGGCCTTTGCCCAGCTACCCTGTAGCCTCTGAAGTTTTCTACTTGTCTTGCCAATTCCCTTACCAAAGGTAATAAATTTCTCCCCCAGTCTCCACAGTCACCCTCTAGCTGTAAAACAAAGTGCTGCTCATTGTTGCCCTCCTTTATCCAGAGGGCTGATTTTTATTGTTTCATATATAACTTCAAATAATAACTTCCCTGTTTGCAGACATCATTCTGTAAAGGATAGGCTAGTCCACGCCCATGCAGCACAGACCTTGTTAAAGTGAGCATGGCCAGCCTCCACATACTGCAGTTTTGCAAGGGGCTCATACTAGATTAAATTAGGACTAGCTCTGGGAGGCAGAGAAAGGGGCTGCTTGCAGCGTGTTGCTGCATGGGTCCCTAAAACAGGAATGAGCCCTTCCCCCTCCCCCTGAAAGCACGTGGGGGTAAATAGAATACAGAGAAGAGCTATTGAAACATGTCGGGGGGAGGCCTGGTTTCAAGCAGGGCACGGGACACTGAACAATAGCTGCCATTTTGAAGCAGCTAGAGCCCAGGGTGCTCCTGAGGAGGTGATGGAAAACACTGTCACAGGGTACGAGCCTTGCTTGTGAAATAAATGGCCCCTAAGAGCTCATTGTGCAATGGCTGCTGATGTGCAAAGCCAGCGCTGAAAAACATCAACTGTACCTGCTAAAAATAGGAAAGAGCAGTGCCCAAGGGAGATGGCTTGGGAAGGGAGAAGCAGAGGGAAGAGCCCAGCAGTGTGGCTGCATCCCTGCAGGATTTCTGGGAAGGCACCGTGCCTTTCTGTGCCCTGCTGAGAGCAGGGCCACACTGGGGCCCTGCTCACAGGAGTCACCAGCCATGCAGACAAGCCCCTGGAGGAAAGAACCCCTGTCCTTCACGTCCTTCATGTCCTTCATGTCCTTCCCTTCTCAGGGAAGATCACATCCCTACAGCAAGCTTTGCAGGTGGAAGATAATCCTCCAAGCCCAGCTGTTCACACCCTGGCTGCCACTGAGTGGGGTACAAGGGGTGCTCCTGCCCCTGGTGAGCTCCCCGGACCTTCCCACCAGGACAGCGGGCTGCAAGACCTTGGAGAGGTTTGGCTGCCCAGCAGGTCTGAAGGACGTGGCTAGACACAGCCAGGCAGGGCAGCCCAGCCTCTGCCACTGTGGGAATCCTGGCCACTGTCACCACCTCTGGCTGCCATTCCAGAGATGGGGGACATTCCTCAGCTGCAGGAGAGGCTGGCCAAGAAAAAGGTGCAAAAAGAGTTAAAGATGGAAATTAAAATTCCCAGCAGAAAAATATGATCTTGGGAGAGAAAAGCATCCTTTCCAGCACTGCCAACCCCACATACTCAAAAATTATGCATCAGGCTCCAGAGAATCACAGCTTTCAAACTGCAAGGCATTTTGTTCTGTTTTTTAAAGAAAATTATAAACATTTGAGCTTTTCCTACTTGCACTCACTTCAGTTTCCTGAAGCTTATGATCACATTTTCAAACCTTCCTGCAAATCCCTGAGGGCTACAAACTTCTTTTTTTTTTATAAAATAAAATTGAGTAGCTCACCTAATGCCCTCACCTTTGTGCCAAACAACAAAGATCAAAAAACTTACACTAAAATGAGGATTATAGGAAACACTGGAGATCTCAAGAATGGACACTCTGCAGTATAAGTCTCATGATTTTTCTCCAGGGTTGCACAAAATAATGTTAAAATGTTTCAACCAACATCACATTGCTTAAGTATTTTATTTGTCAGCATGAAGAACAGGTCTTCAGTGTCATTTTGGTTCCAATAATAAAGTTGCTTGCATTATTAAGAGATTAATTATTATTATTACAAGAGCTGCAGGAAAGTTAAAACTGAGGCTGCTCTCCCTGCCTTAGGGGCCAGAGGAGCACGCAGTTTCTGGGACCCTATGGCATGCTCACCATTGCTGCTGCTCGTGGAGCAGGGAAGGCTGTGAAACATTATCCAGTGTCAAGCCCAGAGCCGGCCTTCCATCTTTAGCCTGATCCATACAGAAGTGTCCTGCCAAAAGGGGCAGGTGGGTGCCATTTTCTTTGTGTCCAAAGGCACTGAAAAAACTGCATGTCTTACAGGAAGACCTGTGTTACAGAGCAGGTAGACTGTGGGAAATATATCAGCCAGTAAAGAGGGCAGTGATCCTCCAAGATTAAAGGCTGATCTGAGTGTGAACTCGCTATCGTGCCTCTTGAAAGGATTTGGCATGTAACAGCCTGATTATCGATTGCTGTCCTTAAGAGAATGTGATCCTCTCCTTTGCACTGATCCTGTTAGCTTTATTTACCATAACACTTGCTGAAACATCCTCTTGCAGAGATAATGGCTTCCTTGTGTTGCTGTCAGAACGAACAAATGGAAACAAAAGCACGATGGTAATAATTGCGTCCTACTCTAATTAATTAAAGCAAGACAAAGGCACTGCACTGCTGGGTTTGGCTTGCCATTGCCTGGGTGCCTGGACAAGCCCCAAGCACAGGGGCTGACCACAGGAGTACCAATAACACAGCAGTGCCTAACACACAAGACTTCCACCAGCCCAGAAACTCAGCAAAACATCCATGAGGAATAGGAACATGTTTGACACCCAAACTATGATCCAGCCACCCAGAGGCTGCTGTTCTAGACAGACCTCAGCCCACGTGGGCCTAAGGAGCTGCCAAAGATGGCAGATGGGTAAAGTACACAATTAAGCAAAGGGTTTTCAACAGTCCTCTTGAAATTTTTGTGGAACATCTGCACCATACAAAAAAGCCAATAGCTCAATCCAGGCAGGCAGTAACAGGACTTTTGCAGGGTAGTGGAAGAGAGGCAGAAATTGGCTTACCTGCATCTTATGACAGGATGCTAAACAAGGAAATAAGTCCAGCTCTCTTCCCCTGCAAGTGAAGACCATAAACTCTGCACATTCTGCCTCTTCAGACTGAATCAGGGTCCGCTCATGAGTAGAAGTTAAAGAAAAAGGGAACAAAGTAAATGGAGTGCACAAATGCAAAATAAAAAGCAATGGCATAGCCACAGCACTGAGCACTCACAGAGCTCATGCTGTAAACAAACAGGCCCCCATATCCAAGTGCTGCTGAGCACACAGATACTTATTTATTATTTCTCCACTGATGGACTGTGGATCACAAGAGCTTGGCCAGCAGTCCAGGACTATCCAGGCTTGAAACATCCCTTGGGAGGTGGTTTCAGGTGTCCCTTAGCTGTGGTGCTGCCTTGTGAATCCCTACTGTCCTCCATGCCTTCTTGAGGTGCTCCCTTGGGCTGGAACACTCAGGACACCCCAGTGAGTGTCCTATTGGAGCCAGGCTTTCATACCAACCTTTCTTGGGCTCTTTCATTAATCCTTGGCTATTCCTGAACACCTTATTTCTTGCTTTCCATGTTCCTAACCATCTCCTCTATTAAATCTTCATATTCATTATGTAGGAAGAAGGATAGTGCATGTCACTAATTGAGCAGTTTAAAGCTATGACATTAGAACTTGAACACAACCTACCAAATGAAATAATTTAAAATATAAGCTTTGATACAAAATAAGCACACTTGCCTCAGCTGAAGGTGAAATTGCCTTTTGTAGGTGTACAGCATCCACAGCTGGAAGTTAGGCAAACAACTGGGTAAACCTTCTGCTGCCCACAGCAGCTTTCAGAAGCTCATGCCAAAGAGGCTTCTCACATGACCCAGAGAGAACACAGCACTTTCTTTGACCCTGAAAAGGTCAAAGAACAGTAACCAAAATTCATTTGTCCTCTGAAGCTAAGAGCAATAGTCAAGACTATACAGATTGGAGACAGGTTTACAAAAATGTCCTGCTAATATAATTTTAGCAAAGTTGAAAGAAAACTTAAGTTGTCCAATTTTTCTGAAGCTGCCTTTGACATCTGGTCCCTAAAGAAATTAAACATTCAAGATTAACTAGACCCACTAATTGCATAGTAAATAACTAACTACAATAGTCAATTAAAAATCTCTTCCTACATAGAAAAATAAGCATCACAGACACGAACAGAGTTCCTTCTGTGGAGTTTTTAATAAAAAAATCTGCCCTTGCAGTGAACCTGCTTCAACACCACACTGACACCCTTCCTGCAGGCAGAGGTCAGAAAAGCATAGAAACCCTTTGTATCTGGAAATATGGGGTCCCCCCAGTGCTCCCCTCAATCTGTCAGCAGAGGGGTTTCTGCCCAGACCTGCAGCTTGCTTCCCACCAGGGGAAAACAGCCTTTGCCATGTATCATCACACTGGCCACTGCTACAGGTTCCTCAGGGAAACAGAAAATCTATCACAGCATTCAGAAATCCACGGCAACCAAGCCTTGTCCATAGACATAACTCTTCTCCAGAGCTCTCTATCTGAAGTAACTTAAAATCCCTTAGGGTAGTATCACCACTGGAGGGATGGGGTAGAACCCTACCCACCCATCAAGGCCCTTAGGTGTTTTCCAGTGCTGGTGGAAAGCCTGGCTCTAGAAATTCAGAGGAAGATTCAGTGTACTGATATGATAGAAATGCTGGTCTAAATGACTGAAGCACCTCACACTCTCAGGAGCAGCATTTCTTTCTACAGAGTTCATCTTCCTACACTGCTCAAGGTATAAACAATGCCTACCTGCCCAGCAAACTCAAATTTAAAATAAGCTGACAGAGAAGAGGCATCAGAGCAAGCTTCTTTTTCACTGCTGGCCAACTGAGGCATGCTCTGGCTGACATTGCCGAGTCCACCCTGGGTCTCCAGCCAGGACGAAGCTCTCAGCCACGGCTGGAACAAGTCTTAAGTCACAGCTGTCTCTGCAGAAGCTCTCCTTGTTCCATTCCCACTCCAGCATAGTGCCTGCATGTGAGCAGGTCTGTGGTGGGCAAAGTGCCACAAAATCACACAGAAATGAGCAAATTGTTTAGCCAAGCACATAACAGTACAGTTCTCACTGTTTTCACAAATCTTACCTAAATGTGGGCACCAGAGGTCCAAGACATGTCTTGTATTGTGGGCCAACAGTGTGAAATCTGACATAAATCAAGCACTGCTGCTCCTGCCGGGCACATCTGCTGAAGCAGGACCTTTGGGCAGCCACTGGCCTGAGCCCAGGTTATGTTAAATTCTGTGAAAACACAGGAGAGATGATGATCCCAGCTGCAAACTAAGAAATTGGACTTCAGCCTCTCACCACTGAAAGGGGCACACAAGCCATTTTGTATTTATCAGATGAATTTGTGAAGCTGCATTATGAAAGCATGAAGCACTAACTCCTTAAAAAAAAAAAAAAAAAACAAAAACAAAACCAAAAACAACCACAGCTCATTTTGAGCTCCTACAGGAAGTCTGCAAGGTCGCATACATTTTCTTGTTCTTTTTAAAAATAATTTCTTCAATGTCTCCGGCTTGCTAAGCATCGCTTGATGCCTGCTGCGTTAGACGGTACCTGTGAAGTCAGAGTATCTCACTCCGTAAGGCAGCCCGGGCAGCCTTTGGGTGGTGGGTTTGGGCGGTGTTTGGGCGGTGTTTGGGCGGTGTTTGGGGGGTCTTTGAGCGGAGTTTGGGCGGTGTTTGGGGGGTCTTTGAGCGGAGTTTGGGCGGTGTTTGGGCGGTATTTGGGCGGGGTATTTGGGCGGTGTTTGGGGCGGTATTTGGGCAGTGTTTGGGCGGTATTTGGGCGGAGTTTGGGAGGTGTTTGGGCGGAGTTTGGGCGGAGTTTGGGCGGAGTTTGGGCGGTGTTTGAGCGGAGTTTGGGCGGTGTTTGAGCGGAGTTTGGGCGGAGTTTGGGCGGTGCGCTCCGCGGCAGCAGCGAGCGCCGGGCATGCGGCCGCTGCCCTCCAGCGGCGCAGCCGGGCGGTTCCCGGCCGGGCTTCCAGCGCTGCGGCAGCAGCCCCGGCTCCACGGGAGCCGCGGACAGCGCTGTCAGAGCGGCTGCGAGCTCACCTTCCCGGAGCTGAGCCCTTCCAGGGAGAGGCCGAAGTACGGAAAAGGCACGCTTTGCCCAGGGGTTAAACAGCCGGCTTCTGCAAGGCGAAAGCATCCCCTGAGCAAGGCGGTACTTGGGCGCCGCTGCCCTCGCAGTGCGGGCACGCTCCTTCCTCCAAGCATCCTCGGCCGTGCCACCGCCCGGGTCCTGCCGCAGGGAGCAGCGGCTTTGCAGCTGAGATACAGCTCTTTGGCCACGCTTAAATGCAAACTCCCAGCTCTGGTGCCCACATCAAATAACTAAATGTCCAAGCATGAAGCAGGGTGAAATAATGATCCCGATTTATTCTACTTTCTTCAGCCAGTCTCTTCCTTGGGTCCTGTGCCATTGCCTCCATTAACTACTGGGGACATGCTTGTACAATGAACAACTAGCAGGCATTTTTTAATTATTAGAGTCATTGAAACATTCTTCTACAGTCCTGCAAAGGGTGAGAGTGTTAGAACATTGCCATTTTAAAAACCTGAGCTACACTGAGTTTAGGGGAAGATGAGGTGCTGCTGAGGCAGCAGCATTTTATAAGCACTTTATTGCTTGGCTTGACTCTCCATTTCTTATAAAATTCAGCACACAGCTGAAAGGCAAACACGGTGAAAAACAAGCATTTCTTTAGGAAGGCTGGAGATGCACAGGGGAAAAAATCCTGAAGAGAGTGATAAAGAATTACTGTAGGCTTTGCTGCTGCACTTTATCTTCATTTTTATGGATCTTGCCCATGTGCTACTTGGGCAGCCTTTGCTTGTGCCTGGTAGTCTTGCAGATGCCTCCAGAAAATCAAAATGCCCACAGTGCTGCAGGCCTCCTAGCCTCACCCGCTCAGCCAGAGCTCAGCAACGAGCTGAGGCACTGCTGTGCCACCACAGTGACACAGGGGGCTCAAGGCAGGAAGGGCCCTGCAGGGCCCCTTGTCCCCAAGAATGGCAGCGTGGTGCTCACAAAGGTGTAGGAGAAGCCATGGGCATGGATGTGCAGAGCCAATGAGAGCCACAGGCACTGCTCCTTCCCACCCGATGGGGGATGCCTGTGCTGGCCTCCTGAGCTGTTGTTGGTGCTTTTCCAGCCTGGCTGCCAGCCTGGAAAACAAAGTTCCCAACCAAAGCAAGAGCAAGTGGGGAGGAACACAAAGAACAGCTCTGACATTCCTGCCTGCCTCCATCAATGTTTCCAGAGCAATAGGGCTGCGGAGGCTGAGCCTGCTGAGCTCCCAGATGAATAGAAGCAATGGACATGCTACTGCAGCATCATAATAGCCTTCAGCAAAGGAATTAGAGCTCAGCCACAGTGCAGCAAATCTCCTGGTTAAAATCCCTTCCCCAGTCCTGTTAATACAACTACCAAAGAACAGCAACTTCCCTCTCTGTGAGGCTCTTTTAGACCCAGGCTTTATGTCCTGCAAGCAGAGGATGGGATTTTACCAAGGGGGATTTTCTTGAAGCAGGAGGACTGAAGAGTACGACCGCTCCCCAAGGCCAGCCAGGAAAGGACAGAGCAGTGGATGATCAGCCAAAGCTTCCTACAGCTGCATCCACCAGCACTGAGGTAACTGCATCCATTTTGCTCTAGTTTAACATGCTCAGCTCTGTTTCTAGAGTCCCTTCCTTGCCCTAGGGGATGGCTCAGGTCAATCTGAAGGCAATAAATGCCTTAAATGAAGGCAAAACCTGCTGAGGGATCAGGAAGTACGACACCTGAGGGCATGGCAGGTGTAGGGAAGCACATCCCCCATTACAGCCAGGGACAGGGAGCAGTGGCAGGATGAGCAGCAGTCACTCTTGCACAAGCTGGAGGACTAACCACCCTTCCAGTCCCTCTTCCTGCCCCAGCACCAGCTGCCAGGCCCTGCTTCCCTGCACACCAGAGCACTGAGTGTGTCATGCCGTGCAGCCTTGTACTGAAAGCACAGGGCAGGTACCAGTCTGGGCTGGGGAACAGCTGCCTGCTTGGCTTTGCTTGGAGAGTTTGTGTGATGTCTGCAGCCCTGGCTGGATCACAATGCAGAGCACCCCAGGTCCTGAATGCAGCAGTGCTGCCCATGGAGCCCAGCCTTGCTCTGCAGAGGTCAGTTGAGGTACCTACCATGCAGAACCTTCCCTCGGCATCAAGGAGGAAATAATATTTTCAGTGTTTGTAAGGCTTGGAGAATTAATTCCTATACACAACCAAAAATTTATAGACAGTGTCAGACTTAACACATCAGGAAAAGAGAAAGGAAGGCCCCTAAGAATTTACTAGAGAAATTACTCATCCACATAGTAATATCTTCCTAGACCTCACTATCAAAATCTTTATTTATGGCCAGAAGAATAAGTATTTTATAATCTCATTAAAAACAAAAGTATCCTGGATACATCATGTTTTCAAGTACTGGCCTCAGCATTATCTTGTGAATGAGAGGAGCTCTGGTTCATTTTCCTTTGTAGGAAGTGCCCATCTTTACCTGTCTTCTCTATCCACCTTGAGCTGTCTCCCTCTTGCTCTCACCAGCTGTCTCATTATGAGGGTGGATGCTGGAAGAAGTGGAGGACCAGAGCAGAAGATACACAAACAGCACATGATATTTCCAAAATGAATGGGGTTCACAGCTGATTGTTCTAAACGCAGATTTCTGTTTCAACAGGTGCTGAAGGCTAAGAGCGGTGTCCTGAAAAAGACCTAATGTTTTGCTTGCATTAATTTAATGTTATTTGGACTTTTGAATCAATCCTTCCCTCACCTCCCCAGCCACTTACAGAAGAAGAGACCTCCTAACCCCTCAGCAGGATGAACAAGACCAAGGGTGCTTTTGATAGCCCAGAACTTTGGAGCCCAGGCTGCAGACAGAGCAGCACCTCCCTGACCAGTCTGGCACCACCCTTTGCATCTGGCCAGCAGGCTATAGACACAGCCCTGAACATAATCCTTATTGTGGTCCTCCTGGTCATCATGGTGTCTCTGGGATGTACAATAGAGATAGCCAAGATCACAACTCACCTCAGGAGACCTAAAGGTGTGGCAATAGCCGTGTTGGTTCAGTACAGCATCATGCCCTTAACAGCATTCATACTGGGCAAGCTCTTCCAGCTGGGCACCTCAGAATCCCTGGCCATCCTCATCTGTGGCTGCTGCCCAGGGGGAAACCTCTCCAACATCTTTAGCCTGGCACTGAGAGGGGACGGGAACCTCAGGTAAGGAAAGCTACGTACCTGTTCATTGTCCAGGCCAGTCTAGTTATATGGCTGGTTCAGAAACTAATTTTATCAACATTAGGAAGCCCCAAGAAGCTAGACAAGGACTGAAATACTAAATCAAAAACATTTTTAAATTGCTCAATAAGTTGATTTGTCCCTGTTTTACAGTGTCACTTTCTACCTTTCTTTGAACCATTGGCACGCTGCTGTTGATGACATGGGTGCAGGAACATGTTTTCCTCTCCACGTAGCAGTACATAGAGCATATATATATATGCTGTGTCTATACATGCAGTTCTGTGTAAACTGCTCATGCTGCCTGAAGAGGTTGCATCAGTGAGAAATGCTGAACTAGCAGAACACCACTCTCCAACAAACCCTAGTGATAAAACAAGATCCAGCAGGAAAATAAAAAGTATTGCTTTTTCTCTCTGTTGTGAATTTCTGAAATGTGAACTGTACCCTTGTCATGGGTATGTATGTACCCTTTCCCAGCATGTATGAACCTTGAGTCATCTTTTCCCTTCTCATTCATATCACATCCTTCTACAGTCTCACAGTGATGTTGGGGAGATCTTGGTGACAAGTTGGGGAAAAGGTAAAGTCTTCTACTAAAATCATATGTCCAGGCAACTAATCAGATTTGCATACTCCATTTTTTAAAAGTGTTGTTCTTCTACTGAGGGGTCCTTTCTTCATCTCAGTGTTGTAATGACTGCATGCTCCATGGTCCTGGCCATTGGATTAATGCCACTGCTTCTCTACCTTTACTCGGGAGGACTATATGAGGATGATTTGCAGGGCAAGGTACCTTACAAAGGAATTATCACCTCCCTGGTGCTGATGCTAATCCCCTGTGCCATCGGCATCATCTTGAATGAGAAGAAACCACAGTACACTGGCCTTATCACCAAGGTAAGAAGTATCCTGTGCTAGTTGCCTTTCAATCAAGAGCCTTGAGGAAGTTTTCAAAAATAGAATCACAGACATATTAACTTCCTCTAAGACATGCCACAAATCAATGAAAAGGTCAAGGCTAGAGATCAAGACATCCATTTCACCACTTTAATGGTTAAAATATTTGCCCAAGGAAAAGTCCTCCGTCTTTTCCAGGCAGACATTTTGTAGCCAACTTCCTATATTGCTCTCCTTTTGCTTCAGTCTTAACTTTGGAAATTTTTTGTTACATCAGCACTAATGAACCTCATAGGCACTGCCCCAAACTACTGATGATACCAAAGCAGAACTCAGATAAAAACCAACCAAACAACAATAACCATCCCAAACCAAATTAAAATCACCCCGGTACTCTCAGAGGTCTAGCAGGCAAAAATTGAATCACAAAATTGCTGCTTAAGTCATTGAGATTCCTATCCAACAGAAGCCAATGTATCACCAAGTGCCCACTTCTGCCTGGAATCATGTCCCTGCCTCCTTTATACATCAGGCATTTAGACAGCAAAACAGAAATCCAGACAACCAGATGCACCATTGTCTAACTCAAGAACTCTGCTAGGCTCTACCTGTGAGTAAAGTGGTTTCCTAGCCACAAAGGGACCTGGACAGAGACAAGTAGCAATGCCTGAGAAACAAGCAGCTTGTGCAGCAAGAGCCCTCATTTTGCATACAGACTAGAAAGATATTTGGTTAATTTAAGGTCTCTTTCGGTACTAGCTGAGGATGGTCTCTTATTGATTACTGATAACATTTTTGTCTGTGAAAGGCACTTATGCCCTCTGTGTACTTCACATGATGGAGAGAGAACTGGGTACAGCTGTTTCTAACAGCTGAGGAAAACTTTACTGGGGATTTCTCTCTTGTCAATCACTTTTTAGGCAGGGATGGTTATGCTTCTACTGTCATCTGCTGCAATAATTGTTCTGTCTGTGGCCAATATGGGAAGCTGTATCATGGTTGTCTTCTCACCATCTCTCCTGGGAACTTCTGCCTTAATGCCCCTTACTGGATTCCTGCTGGGCTACGCCGTCTCTGCAGCCTTCAAGCTTGATGACCGGTATGTTCTTCCACACGTCCCTCCCCTCTCTCTCATCAGGAACAGAGAGGTTTGGCAGCTCTGCTTTGCAGAGGAATGATGAAAATATGAATTTTAGTAATATACTTCTGTAGAACACTGACTCCACCTGAAATAGGATCTAGGAATACAACCAGACACAGTACAAGCTGGTCCCAAGCCAGTGACTCCCACAGCTTGAGTGGGAAAGGAAATTAACTGCTGCTTGGCTTAAATGAGAGGGGAGGAATAGCTAAGCAGGTGTTTTTGGCACAGGCACCTGATCACCATGGAAGGTTCGCTGAACAAATAGATGAAGGGTTTTAGCTTAAGGTCACTAGTGACCTGCTAAATAAATATATTATCACCCTCTGCTCTTGGTAATGAAGCTGGGGGGAAAAATTATTAGCACCAGAAAAAAACCCAAACCCAAAAAAACCAAGAAATATCAACAGAGCTCAAACCCCGTGACACGATTATTCCCCAGCTAATTACTACCTCAGATCAGTCAATGCATTCTCAGCTGCAGCCCCAGGAATTTAGAATGAAAACCTGACATATAAAACCTGCTCCTCATTTTTTCCTCATCCTACATAAACCAGGTAGGAATCCTCCTAGTCGTATTTTATACCTTCATATGTTGGACTCTGACCACATCAGATTACTTCCCTGCAGGAAGCTGCAGTCTAGAGGCGGAGACGAGGCCTCTGATACCATTATGAACAAAGTTGACATTTGTAACACAATCTGTCTCTGCCCATTACAAATGGAGCAGGAGGCAAAAGCTTTTAGGGATTGCAGTATTGTTCCTGACAGAGCAGCTTTTAGCCATAGGTAAAAGTGCACCAGCAAGGTGAGCAGGGCTCTGTTTCAGTTGTTTGAAAGCAATTTAAATATGCAATTATTGAACTTTTTCTCCTTCAGGTGCAGGCGGACAGTGTGCATGGAAACTGGCTGCCAGAATGTACAGCTTTGCTCAGCTATCCTCAAGGTCACCTTCACCCCAGAGATCATTGGCCCCCTGTACTTCTTCCCACTACTCTACTTGCTGTTCCAGCTTGGAGAAGCATTTCTGATCATTTTGGTCTTTCGGATTCATGATAGAAAAATGAAAGCCAATGGCAAGTACAGCTTTGCTCCTTTATTTCTTATACTTTCCACATTAAGTCATATATACTAACAATGTAACTACTGATGCATCGCTGCTTTATAAAGGCAGTTGCTCTTTAACTAGGGATTACATCCAGCACATTAAATTCAAGTCAGAATCAAAAATTCAGAGGTAACTGAAGACCTTAGAAATTCCATGGACTTCTTGCATCAGCAGGATGTTTCATACAGCTACATACTACCAAAACTATCAGTGCTCAGGTTTTTTCAGTCTGGTGCTCTAAGCTACAGTGGAGACCCTGTGGAAGTAATGACTTGCCCTGAGCACATGGAAAGAACAGAGGTGTTTGTGTGTGGCTAAAACTACACAAAACCATTACATATTCTTTAATGCAACAGATCCCAGCTTTGCTTTAAGCTGCTAAGTGATTCCCCGAGGACAGAACTGCCAATTATGACGGCCAATGGAACAAAACATTTAAGTCTTTTACTAGAAAAGTATATTAAGAGATTGAAACTTCATTTTAAAATATATACAATATAGGTACAGATGTGAAATAGACTCTCCTCCAACTCCAGCAGCTCCCTAATTCCAAGCTCAGCTGACTGCACAGATAGCTGAATGAGATCCTCACCCACGACTCCAATGATGCCAGTCCAGCTTTTCTCCACTGCCTAGAGACAGATGCAGCAGAGTAGCTACTACAGAGCTGCTTCAGGATCACTTCACCCATCTTATAGCTATGCTGGAGGATAACTTAATGAGGGGGGAAAACACACTCACTTGGATCCTTGGGTGTGTGTTCAAAGCAAAACAGTTGATACTGGAAATAGACAAGCAAGGGCTGGCAAGACTATAACAAAAAGCATGTATTCCAGCCCCCAGGTCATAAATGGCTGGAAACAAAATGGCTTCAGTCTTTAGGCAGGAATCCCAAGTTTCTTCCTCTTGTTTTAAATAACCCAGTAATTCCAGTTGTGGCTGGCACAATCTTCCCCTAACCTGGTTTCAGAATTGCGTATTCTCACATTTTTCTCTTTCTTCAGATGCGGCAAAAATTATCTCTGCAAGTGTGGACACATTTAGCGCTGAAGAAATTAAATCAGTGTCAAGACATTGCAGAAACAGTGGAAAACCAGAAAAACAATATACGGATTCTGAAGCAGTTGCTCTCACAACCCTCCAAGCTCTACCTTCTGCAGCCAGCTCATAGGTCTCCAGCTGTTCTACCAAACTTACCTATACACTCACTTCAGCAGCCACAGAGCCATCTGCGCCCACACTTACTCCCCCAAAGACCTCACTCCAGACTAAGCCTTGCTCTGTCAGCCCAGAAAGGAGGAGACCTTCAGTGACTTCAAAGTCATTGTGACAACCCTTTGGGACAGCTGAAAAACATGCCAAGTGACTGTCCCAGTTTTACCTGTAAGAAAACCATCGCCTACATCAGTTCCCTTTCTTAATTTCACTTACCTGTAACTGCCCTGCTGGAACATAATGGAAGCAGATCCTGACAATATCACTGCAGATTAATGTAATTTCTCTAACAGACCCAGAATGAGCTGTGAAAGTTTCTCCACTGGCAGAAGCCCATGAGATTGAATTCACAGGCAAGGAGCCCATGGGCTGTTGGTTTCTCCCATGCTCCAGGAGGTACTGTGTGGTACCATTGATCACCCAGAGCAGAGGGCACACAAACCAGGATCATGGCTACACAAACTGCATTTGTATGCTGAGTTTGGGCCCAGCAGCTGTACCTCCAATATCAGATGAATCTTAAATGTGCCTTCTTTTGCAGCCGTCAGTGAACTCAACACCACACCTGTTCTAGACACCACCTAGGTACGGTCACACTACACAGCACCAGGGAAGATTGGCATCTCCATCTCTAATGTCCAGACCACACCTTGTAACCCAAAGTAGTTCATCTTAATTAGGAATAAACTGGTTTGTACCAAGAACCTACACTAAATAAACAGTGTAATTTTTTACACCAAAAATGAACATAAGCTTCCATACTGCAAAGCCCGGGAGTTTAACAGGAAGCTCATCATGAGAACAGCCAGCTCCCCAGGGAAAATGCAGACACTTGCTTATGCTGCTTGTGCAGCAAGTAAGTGGTATAGTCTAGAAACAGAATTTAGAACAACTATTTATAGAGCAGATAATACTTCACATTTAGCCTGAAAGAAATCTGTGACCCTTTTCATCAAGTGTCTTCAGCCACCTGGGTTCCAGCTGAAGCCAAGTCCCACTGAGACACAGATGCCCACCAGCTCTCAACACCTGCTCTCAGGAGTGCCTGGCAGCCCAATACACAGCTCAACAGACAGACCCATGCAGTACAAGAGCTCCTCCTCCTTCCTTAGCTTGGCACCCAAGAACTCTGCAGCAGCAAGGAAAAAGGGCAGCAGGGCTGCAGAGGCCAAACACCCAACCTCCCACAAGGCCAGACCTTGCTCCCAGAGAAACTACCTTGCACTTCCTACGATCTATCCAAATCGGAGCCTAGGCTACAAAGATCTTTTTAAAGGTTTACACAGATTACTGTAACAGCTTTGTAAAGCACTTTATAAGAAAAAACACTATTTTAAAAATTAAATTTTTAAGTTCTCTAGTGGGTGAGGGCTTGAGAAACACAGGGATTGCTGAGGACTGCTGCCACTGGAAGGTACAAACACTGAAACACAGAACCTGATGGTACTACTGCTGGATTACTCCCACCCATCAATTTAAAAGTCCCTCTTTCCCCAGAATGAGGACTAATGCCTACAAAAATGGTTTATCTACACTTCAGCATTCTCATACCAACATGCAGAAATACACTATGAAGTATCCTGACTACATCTGCCTTTAACAGTCCACACTTACTATCCCAAGTCATTAAAAAATAAATGACTCTCCACTCCACTTTTTGCTATGAAATATGACAGCCTGATTATCCATGCTCTTACTTCAGAACACAGACACATACAAGGACATCACACAATGCATTTAAAAGGATGCTAATTCTTACCCCTGCCCAAAACAGTTATCACTTTGGCACAGATCCATCTTTAAGAAACATTTTAACATTTTAACCACTTTATTAACACCAAGAAACAAATCAGAAGCATAAATGTTTCTTTATACTTTATTTGAACTATTTTATTCTTAGGTATCAAGAAATAAGAGTGCTTTATAGAATATTATTACCACAGGGCAGTGAGATGGGCATTTTCTTAGTGTAGTGCAAGTCATATTAAATGAAAATATTAAAATAAAGTTTTATTACCAGTACCGACCAGCACTTAACCTGCTGACCTATAGCTGAAACACTGTCTCAAAAGCACAAAAAAATACCCTCTGAAATAAAGCTTTATGTACAGCACATATAGAGCTCTCTTAGATGTCTACAGCTATTAGTCTGAGACATTAATGTTTTTAGTCACTATTCACAGTTGAATATGCTGAGAATTAAGTGTTCAGATGACTTTAGAGTACAAAAAAAATTGTTTGCTTTAGTTATAAAGAGCTCTGCCAATATACACAAACTATACACTTCAGACATTCACAAAAAATGTGATCAAGAAAAGGGTTATCAAAAAAACATTTAATACAATTAGTCAATAACCCTTCCCACCATGGTCCACATCTACAAAGTCCCCCTTCCCTCCCCTCTCCCTATCCAAACCCCTTCCCACAGAAAGTCACATACTTACCACAAGTTTTAGCAAGTATGGTTTAAAAAAGGGCCCCCAGGGCAAGTTATTTATAGTTCAATTGCCACTGTCAACAGATCTGGACCTTGATCTAGACCTCTGTCGGTCTACGGATGATGGAGATTTGGATCTGCTGGAAGAACCACGTTTCTGGCTCTTGCTTGGCAGTGGAGATCTGCTAACTGATCGCGACTTGCTGCGGCTCCTGCTCCGTGACCTGCTGTAGGACTTGCGGCTGCGGGAGCGAGAGCGGCTGCGAGACCCGGATGAGCTCCTGCTGCGTGACCGGGATCTGCTGCGGGACCTACTGAGGAGCCAACAGGGAGCGCCGGTCAGTGCCAGCTGCGGAACCCACGGCCCCGGCCCCAACAGGCACTCCACAGCTCTCCAGCTCGGCTGCCCGGTCACCGACTCCAAGGCTTCTCAGTCAATGTTTAAGCATTATTAAAAGAGTAGAAATCCATACCTGTGCCTTTTGCTGCCTTCAATTAGTTTGATTTTCCTTCCGTTAATTTCTTTACCAGAAAGCTTTTCAATAGCATTCTTTAAATCACTGTAAGAGGCAAATTCAACCACCCTATGGAAAAAAAAAAACCCAAATATAAAGCTCACTATTACAAGTTTTAATTACCAATTACAAGGAAAAAACCAAACAAACAAAACCCCAAAGCATACACTGCTCCGTGTAATTATCCCTTGTCATCACTGAAGCATGAAAATTTCCCCTCCCCAAACATTTCCCACATGCATTTTCAAAGCATAGCTAAATTAAGCTACAAACAGCTGCTGACACTAAAAGTAGCCAGCTTCCCTCCCCAAATATTACATATACAGGTTACTCTACAGCTTTCAAGAGATCACTTGACAGGCTTACCCTTCATTTAACTTAGGTCTGTGTGCATCTGCAAAGGTTACCTCCCCGGCTTGCCTCATGAAGTCTTTGAGATCCTAACACAAGACCACTTTTGTTACCCAAAGAAGTGAAATTAACATTTGCTTATACAAAAGTAGTTTAAAGCAAACAAAAGAAATTTATGACTACTGAAAGAGAAGTTGTTAGATAAATCACAAACATGGCAACTGCCACACTTGTAATCAAAACTGCATTATCTGTATCATGATCTGTATCAGGGCACGAAATAAATGAGAAAAGCATATTGCTTTAAGCAAAATGCTAATAAAGGGTCTTAACATTAAGGTAAATATTAGTCTAAAATGATTTTATAGATTAAATAACAAAGAGAAAGAAAGAGAGAGAAAAAAGAAATAAAAAGCACATTTTTATATCTACTTAATTGACTTTGAAATACTACCCATATATTTTTGGACTATTTCAGTCTCCATTTACATTACAAGTCTTACATGAATACAAAATTACATTTACATAACACCAATTATTTTGTGCCCCATATGTCATTAAAAATATAGTTTACTTTACCTTTATAAACATTTCCCTAGGCTAGCCAAGCAGCAAACTGCATTAAGCGACCGGAGATACCGTCATGACATATGCCCGACTGGCTCTTCGCCACCCACTTGCCGAACACTACCCAGTCGATGGAAGCCATTAATCGCACTGCCCTCCCTATCAGGAGACTATGGATGGATCCATTCTCTATGCTTGATGTCACCAAGGACCACTTTACTGCGATCAGGATTCCAACGACCACCTAATTTCCAATCTTTCAACTCTTTTCGACCAGGACCTCGTTATTCGGAAGCGTTACAGGAAGAACAGCTCTCAACTTAGGAATCAGATCTCGTTAACGCTCTGGGACCGCTGCAATGTGGCACTTTAAGGAGTGCATCGATTACGTCTAGACCGGCAAACACAGATCTAGAGGTGGCCAAGTGACATTGTAGGAGCTGACTGGAAAGTCAACCAGGCCCGACCAAGAGTGACCAAGACAGAACGATTAGGATAACCCACAGGCACTCCTCGTCATAAGGCCAACGACACAGATAGGCTGGCAAATAAAGGGTTTAATATGTGGTTAAAATGGATTTTAAAAACAAGAAAAAAAAAAATATATATCCTCAAACATACAAATTTATTATTACTATGAATTAACATTAACTAGCTTTCATTCAAAATATTTAAGTTACATTACTAAAATCATATTAATTATATAAAACATTTTAATAAATTATGTTTTAATTTAATTAATTATTTTACAAAATAATTACATTACATAACATACCCATTAAATGAAGTAAAAATAGTTAATCATGTTTCAACAAACCTGCCAGCTGACACGGGAAGACAAATTTTCCACTATGAGGCGATTTTCTGTTCTTAGAGGTGGGGCGTTTCTGTTTTGAAACAAACAATTCAGACTTCTATCAGTAAATACAATATAACCATGCTAATATTAAAAAGGGCTGTACCAAGAGCTAAAATCAGCATATCATCTTCAGTATTATGACCTGAACTACGTAATGCCCAGAATAATCTAGGGCAAGCATTAGTACTTAGGGCAGGGAACATAAGGATGACAGGCATATCTGAGAAGTTCTGTAATCTTCACTATCCTTCTGCCACATCACACTACTTAAAAGGCAAACAACACCTTTGAATAGCTCATTGCAGGTCACATTCTCTGGGATGAGCCTGAAGCATTCTTTTTTTAAACTGTACCGGTTCAAAGCTGCACGTACCTCCTGTCACTGCGCAGGCGGCGGCTACTGAACCGGTCAGAGTACCTCCCTCTGCCTCTGCCCCTCGAGCGTGCTCTGGCATGCTCAATGGTCACCCTGTGAAAGGAAACACATAACGTAACACGGGTTTTTACATGTTTCTTCTTTTGTATACACTTGTAATTCTCAGGACAAACATAAGATGAACCAAACAAAAACAAAGTAGTTTGACCAATACTGACTACACAATTCAAATAGAAGTTGACTTTTATTTTAGATCCCCAAGCTTGTATAGTCATGAAATAGGATACCTCACCTCTCACTGCAAAGTTCTTTTCCATCCAATTCATAAACAGCATCATCTGCATCCCTCGGATCTTCAAACTCCTGCAAAACCAAGACAAGATGACCAAGCAATTACATTCCAGTGAACGAGCAGATACCTATTTGTCACCTGGTGTGCCTTGATGGGCGCGTTAATTAATTTTCTTTCGGAGTAGCTTCACAAACCTCAAATGCGAGTGTGCACTAAGTGGGTGGGCGAGGGAGAGGGGGTGCACTCACCACGAAGCCGAAGCCCCTCTTCAGGTCGATGTCGCGGATGCGGCCGTACCCCTTGAAGAACCTCTC